ATATTTGTTTTTTATATAAATTACATCATTAAAAAGAAGAGAATTCAAGCTTCATAAAGAAAAACCTCTCGTGCCTGTATGACAAGTATTTGCAGAGTTAGAGTTAATTTTTCGGACGTGTTTCAGAATGGACTGCACTGACAGAGAGAAGGCAAAACTCGCATCATGTTTATTTTTCTTTATTTGACAAAAAGCACAAAACTTTGTTTTTATTGTGAGTATACAGAAAAATAATAGACAATTAACAGGATCGATTGATGTATAACACTTATATGTACGATCAAAATCAACAGAGTATTTTAAGTCTATTTTTCTGCTATGTGAAAAAAAAACGGCAAAACGCGCGGGCGCGTTTCTGGTCCCCAGAGGGTTAAAGAATATAATATTAGCAGGCACTTCAATGCTAAACATGCTAATTATGCCGTGAATTTCTCCGCAAAGGAGAGGGAAGAAAAAGCCACGAGATTGTCCTCCAACTTAACTGCCAGGCAGAATATTTTTACCAAGCAGTCTAGTGTACAGGAGTCAGCAACAAAAGTGAGCTATATGGTGTCACACAAAATCGCCAAACACAGCAAACCATTTTCAGATGGTGAGTTTGTAAAAGACTGTATGGTAGAGGCAGCTAGCAAAAGTCAGTTCGAAAGTGTGAGCCTGTCTCGCCGTACAGTTACTCGTCGCATCGAGGTAATTGATGATGAGCTGACATCAGCATTGCTAAATAGGGCCACCGATTTCACATACTTTTCAATAGCGCTGGATGAGAGCACTGATATTAAAGACACTGCCCAGCTGCTTATATTCATCAGAGGTATTACTGACACATTTGAAATAGTGGAGGAGTTTCTTTCGATGGAATCAATGAAGGGGACGACAAGGGGTTCAGACCTCTATGATACGGTGTCAGGATGCATGCAGAGAATGAACCTACCGTGGGCGAAGTTACTGAGCGTGACCACTGATGGCTGTCCAAACCTCACCGGGAAGAACACTGGGCTATTGCGTAGGATACAGGACAGGGTGAGAGAGGATGACCCAAACTCAACTCTGATTTTCTTGCACTGCATCATTCATCAGGAAGCCTTGTCTAAATCGGTGTTAAAGCTTGATCACGTCACCAAAACTGTGGTGAAACTTGTCAATTTCATCAGGGCCCGGGCACTTAACCACCGCCAGTTTATCCAGTTGTTGGAGGAGAGTGAGGCAGAACACACTGATGTCCCATACCACTCAAACGTCCGCTGGCTGAGCCTGGGCACAGTGCTACGCCGTGTGTGGGACCTGAGAAGTCAGATAGGGGTGTTTCTGGAGAATGTCGGGAAGGCTGGTGACTTTCCAGAACTTGAAGATTCCGATTGGATGCTTGACTTTGCCTTTGCTGTGGATTTAATGGGCCATTTGAATGACCTCAATCAGAAGCTGCAGGGGAAGGATGTGTTCGTGCGCAAACTGTATTCCTACGTGCGAGCATTCAGAGCAAAGCTGACTCTGTTTTCCCGACAAATGACAAACAAGAGCTTTACACATTTCCCAACTCTTGCCACAATGAAGGATGTGCCATCCCGACTCACTGTCAAATACACCACTGCACTCGAGGATCTGCACACTGAATTCAACAGGCGTTTCTCTGATTTCGGTAAAATAGAAAAAGAGATAGAGCTGGTGTCCGCCCCCTTTTCCTTTGACAGCGACCAAGCGCCTCCAGAGGCTCAGCTTGAGTTGATTGACATGCAGTGTGATCCCACTCTCAAGGAGAAATTCACCTTGTCATCATTGGACAGGTTTTATGGTGCATTGAACGGTGCATTTCCTAACATGCGGAGGCATGTGCAAAGGATGCTAGTTTTATTCGGGTCCACGTATGTATGCGAGCAGACTTTCTCTGTAATGAACTTTAACAAGTCACGCTACAGATCACGACTAACCGACGCACACCTGTCGTCCGTGTTGCGCATCTCAACGTCGAACACGACCCCAGATTTCGATGAATTAGTAAAGAAAGGCGACCGCCTCAATTGTTCACATTGAGTTACAGAACACCGACAAAAAGCTCTTCATCTCAGTTGCATAGGATGAAATACATTTTTCTAAAGAATGTAAGCATAGCCAAAGTTCCATTAAGTTACCCTTGATTGATGGTGTTATTTTTACAACATTGTTCAGTTTCATGTTGCCATTTCTTATGCATGTCCCGCGTAGATGGTTATGATACAGCTAAATCAAATTAAAAATTTGTGAGATGCATAGGCCTATTCCATGTTGTCCTTTATATCTTTCAAGCAAACATATGTGTGAAGTTGATCTGCACTTAAATTGTGTTCTATTTTATAAAAGACTTGAACAAAATATGTGAAAGAAATTACAAAAAAATGAATAATCACAAATGAAATCAGCTGAATATGTTTTTTATTCAGTGATGAAGGTCTCCCTCTGGTGGTATATAGCCTCCAACGCATTCTCATCCTTTGGCGTCATATAGGTGACGCCATATGACATTTCGTCGAAATCTTATGCACATGGCATCCTTTAGCGTCAATATAACACGCACGGTTATGGGTAGGTTTAGGTCTGGGGTAGGGTACGGTTATGACGCCTTGGGATCTGCGTCTCATATTGACGCTAAACGATGCCATGTGCGTCGGATTTAGACGAGCGTCACCTGTATGACGCCTTGGGTTCTGCGTCTCATATTGATGCTAAAGGATGCCATGTGCGTAAGATTTCGACGAAATGTACAAAGCGTCACATGTATGACGCCAAAGGATGAGAACGGGCTGATAGCCTCAATTAAATTTGATAATTCCAAGCCAGATTGCCTGAAGTCTGTATCTGTATGTTAATATATTTGCACAAACATATATTTGCAGTTTTGTTAATAGTTTTCTATCTTGAATAGCTACAGCTGGTATGAATGACAGTTGAACAATATGCAGGGTAGTGTAGGAAATTAATCCTTGAAAGTAAATCCAGTTAGTAGCTGTCAATAACTGTAGAGTAGCCTTATACATATTTACATTGAATTAATTTGTACCATTTAATCATATAACTATGTTTAATTGCAATTGTCCAAAGTGTGGCCCTCCGTTTACTTTGCCAAAGTAACTGTGGCCCTCAGACTAAAACTGTTGCCCACCCCTGGCTTACGGGAACACATTGTGTTCTTTGTTCTAAAACCCACCGCAACCTTTGCCATGTGATAAGCACACTTGGCACAGTTTTAATCTTTGGTTTGAATAAATTACATACAAAAGGGTAACCTTCAATCATGTGATACATCAACCCACTCCTGTTTAGATAATCATCAGACGGTCTCTTCTCAGTGAAAAGCTGCAAGATGCATGATGAAACAATGGATGGTGGTAATGTTTTAGTTTGTGATCAAATAAGAAGACACTGTGCTATTTCAATGCATTGCAGGTTTATCAGAATACAAAACCGAATGTAGCTTTGGTCGCACTACACCACTACTTGCTGGAAAAAGGAGTTAGCTACTGGAAAAGCTACACTGTTTTAAAAGCATCTGAGCTAATGTCAAGATACAGATAAATGTAGTTAAGTTAGTAGCGTCGCTCCTGGTAGTTAGCTACTCCCCATATATGGAGGATTGTGATGTTACTGTCAAGGCTTATGGTGGTGTAAAAGCACATACTGCAGCAATGTACAGCAAAACACTTTAGAGCTCACTCAAATGTATACAGTGGAATTGTTTCTTAGCCCATTTGTGCCCAAATTTTTCTGAATGGTTTCATGCATATAGTCGTGTTAATAGTGTCCTATGTGAACATGTTCTGCATTTATTTTCCCCAGTTTTTTTTTCTTCTTCTTGAAAATCGGATTTGAATGTGCGGCAACTATAGTTGCCGGTGGGCAAATATGTTGTATGCACCCCCTCAATGTCAAATATGAATAGGAGGAGAGCATTTGGAATCTATATCAAAATAACTGCTTTCAACAGATCAATCTTTATTCATAAACAAATTTATTGTGTATAAAAGTCGAAGAACGTTTGATGCGAACCCAAAAAAGCTGAATCTAGCTTATAATCTCTAGAATATGAAAACACAACAAACAACAAATCCATTTGGTTTAAACCTTGTGCGCTGTTTGGGGTCTTTTTGACCCACATTTCTAACTTTCATTCATGGGGATAACATGGATCATTTGACATGGTTTAGTGTAAGATTTTTGCCCATCTTTTGAAAAATGCAGTTTTAAAAGTAACAAATTATCACTTTACCCAGTAGATGGCTGCAGAACTCCACTATTTGCTATTTGCTATTTGACTAAATGAAAGACATCTTTTCACAAGTTTTTCCAGTTGTATTCATATCTACATATTATGAAATCACAATTATAACAATAAAAGTTACTTTTTGTCTAAGTTTAGGCATTTTTTGTACTGGAAAAAAAACCCTGTTTTTCAATAATGTTATATTATGATTAGAATCAAATGATTTTTGTCAATGGACAAAATTCATCCTCAAAATCAGAAAGAACACACATAGACAAAAAATAAGTGGCACACTTAAATTGTTTAGAATTATATGAAAAATAGATGTTTGAAATAAATGATCAACTCTAAAGACTCCAACTTTTCTCTTTGTAACATCCTGATCAGATTTGATTCTAATCATAATGTAACATTATTGATTTTTTGCTAAACTTTGACAAAAAGTAACTTTTATTGTTATAATTATGATTTCATAATATGTCGATATGAATCTAACTGGAAAAACGTGTGAAAAGATTTCTTTTAGTTTTAAACTTTTAGAAATTTTACTGGTATCTACTGGTTAAAGTGAAAACTTTTAAACTACTTTTAAAACGTCATTTTCCAAAAGATGGGCAAAAATCTTACACTAAACCACGTCAAATTATCCATGTTGTCCCCATGAATGAAATTTACTGTAGAAATGTGGGTCTTAAACACACATATTTATATATACTGTATATAACTATAGTAACTTAACACAACGTTTATTCTTCATTACTTTCTGCAGGAATGCTATAGCCCATTTGTGAATGGGAGTTTCTTTGAGCATGAGGGCCAACCCTTATGTGAAGCTCACTACCACCAGTCCCGAGGCAGCTTGTGCCAGGCATGCCAGCAGCCCATCCTGGGGCGCTGTGTCACCGCGATGGGTGCCAAGTTTCACCCACACCATCTGGTGTGCCACTTCTGCCTTAAACCCCTTAGTAAGGGCTGCTTCAAAGAGCAGGACAGCAAACCATACTGCCACCCCTGCTTCATCAAACTCTTTGGCTGAGAAGAACGAAGAGAGATGATTAAACATATTACTCATGCAATGTATCATACTGTGATGGATTTTCTTTTCCTTACTTCTCTTTTAGGCCTTACATTCTAAACTCTTGAACAAAATGTACTCTGAAAAATGTTTGTGTCTATGGAAAATTCTGAGATGCTGACCAGACAATATCAAAAATATACTGTCTAGAATAGTCTCATGACATATTGAGAAATCAACTGAACTTCTAACCTTTTGCATTTTTTATTTTGCTAAGTTTGCTTCTACCTAGTAACAGAAGGGTTTGCATATAAAGAACCAGCAAATTGTATGTAAATGATGTAATGTATCATGTCACTTTTTTACATGCGCCTATTCTATAAAAACGGTTGTATTCTTTTTTGCTGGTGGGATTCTCTCTGATATTTGTCTAAAATCCTCCAGCCATGATTAAAGCATATTCAAAGGCATTGTCTGAAGTTTGTCGGTTATTATTGCTGCGCAGCAAGTTAGTTAGTTAGTGGAACAAGTTCTTTAGCGAAACACTAGAGATCTTACTTCTATTCCCAAGTGATAGTGTGGAGCGGGTTAACAACACTAGAGACCTTATTCCCAAGCGATAGTGTTCGAACGGAACGAGATGTCATTCGACTCTTTGTGAGAGACTCTTAGGCGGGTTTAGATTACAGTCAGGTAACTATAATTCTTAGGCATTTTAATGCGGTCGGAAAAGCTACACTTGGGCGTCACCTCGAGCGGTCAGAGGTGAACATTTTCAGGTGTCAGGGACACTAGGTTCAACCTAAGCCAGGTGTGTAGGGGAAAAATCGAGCACAATACTCATACTTTATACAATACACATTGTTTCAAAGCAGCTTTACAGTGATAAACAGGAAAATAATGATCAATACTGCAAACAGAATTCAATTCTGCAATAAAGCAGCTCTAAAAAGACAATAGTGTCATTGTTCAGCTGAAGTTAGTTCAATTTTGATTCAGTTCAATTCAATGACTGTAAAATTCAACATTTATGAAATGAGTTCAATTTGGATACAAGGAGCTCTTCAGAAGACAGTTGTCGTTATTCCCTTTGTCATTTCAATGTAGATTCAATTCAGTTCAGTAACAGTGTTGATGTTGCAAAATAAATAAATTATGAAACAAAGTCGAATCAGCTATAAAACAGCTCTGCATAAAGGTGTCCTCACCCAGCTCAATTCGATTCAAGTTTTGTTCTCATCCAAGTGTCAGTGCAGTCAAATCAATAATATTACCAAATAATATAGCTGCAAGCAGCAATTATCGGGGCCAAGCGCAAGCAGAGGATAAGACATGCCAACATGGCTGGGAGTGTCAGACCATCTGCAGCAAGGAGCAATTAAAGACATTCAAAGATGAATTTAGGCAAATGGCTGAAAAATCATATTAACTAAAAATATGATTTAATGGATTATCACTTTCGACCAATAGGTGGCGCAGTTACGAAATGTATGTGGTGTGGTCAGAGTGAGGTGACAATGACATATACAAAGTATGGTGTCAAAATGTCAAGGCATTGCAGAGATAAAGCCTGAATAGTCATTTTGGCAGCATCATGCCTCAACTTTTGCTGCAGTATACGAAAACTGTTTCGTCTATCGACATTAAATCCATAACTTTTAGTCAGCACGGTCTGGAGATGATACGGTTCGATTTTGGTGAAAATCGGACAAACTGTTATGATGATGCAAGGAGATGAACCCAAATGCAGAAAGTGTACAATGAACACAAGGTTTATTGGTACAAATACAGGAAAACAAAACCCACGAGAGGGGCAAAACAGGACTGGAGAGAGTAAACCTTGACTAAGACAAGATGACAAATTAAGACTCTGACTTGACAGGAAACAAACAGCAAAACAAACTCACAATTCTTATTAAACTGGATTCAGACGAAACACTCACAGAGATAAACACGCAATGTTTGACAATGTACCGACACAGGACTGAAGACATGAGGGGATTAAATAGGGAACACTAATGATGAGGACAGCTGAAACTGACTAGACAATGACAAGACGAGGGTAACAAGGGGGCGGAGTTACATAATGAGACAACACAAGCACATGGCCCAAACAACAGACCATGCGCTTGTACACAAAACATGGGTCTGTCATGATCCTGCCACAAGACCAGGAAAAATCAAGGACATGATGGCAGAATCATGACACAAACGGTCTAGGAGGAGTTTGAAAAAGTAGGTATTGAATGAAAATCAAGATGGCGGACAGGAGGTTCATCCAAATACGGCAATCTTGGTATCTGTGTTCTTGGATTGCCCCAAGGAATCCATTAAGACCAGTGTCATTACAATAGGCAAATCTATTCAAAAGTTATTAGCATTTTTGGAAATTAAATTATAACTTTTGACCAAAAGGTGGCGCTGTCTCGAAATCTTTTGATTACCTTCAGGGCATGGTGCTTATGGCACATTCTGAGTTTCGTAATGTTACAGCAATGCATTCGTAAAGTATAGCATTTTACATCACAATACTGTATTAAAGTCAATAGGAATGTCATGTTTTATTCTATTATAGCACCATCAAGAGGCTCAGTCCCACCATTTATTTATGTGTCCTCAGAGTGAGCACATACATCTGTGTGTCAATTTTGGTGAAAATATCTCAATTCGCTTCGGAGTTATAGACATTTATGTGAAAAAAAAACACGTCAAAAATGACTGACACGTGATTTTGATTGAATTTTACTACCCCTTACTATCAATATTTTGACATTTGGGCATTGGCGATTAGCCAGCGATGTTTTCAAACTTCTGACGGTGATTTTGTCTCGATCGGACTAGCGGTTTCGAAGATATCGCAAATGTTTTTTAAGCGCTAAATTACAACGCTGGACAAACCATATTGCCGAAACCTGGCAAGTATCGTTGGACTCGGCAAGGATTCAGGAGTCTAATGAGATGACTCTCTTGAGAATAAGTCGACCACAGCCAAAGTTAAAAGTATTTGGAAAAAAAAATCACCACTAGGTGGCACTGTTTCAAAACTTCTCAGGCACCTTCAGGGCATAGTACTGATGACCCATACCGAGTTTCGTAACAATTCATTCATGCGTTCATAAAATAATTAATTATAATTAAAATGAATTAATAAGGCCGATCTGGGAAAATTGGATATCAGTCGACTCGGCATGACACCCTAAATCCAACGAGACCACTTTTATGATTTTTGGACAAACCGTTCAGAAGTTATAAGCAAAAATAGCCATTTTTCATATCTCCAGACCAGTAGGTGGCGCTGCGCCGAAGCGCAGCATGTAGCCTCAGGTCATGCTTGTCATGACATGTACCAAGTTTGGTCTGAATACGATTAAGCGTTACGGAGATACAGCCTTACGTCTGTTTTCGCAAGCGCTACGTAAAATTAGTTTGTGCGTTTATCGAAAATGGTTTGACAAATCAACTTGAATTCCATAACTTTTTGTCGGCAATGCCTGGAGATGATCTGGTCATCTCAAACCCTCTAGGACGAGTTCGAAAATGGCGGACATATTTTTATGACGGAAAATGACGTCAGAGGGTCATAGCATCAATTTTGTTTCTAGACCTTATGGTTCAAAAGTTATTAGCATAAACATGAGTGAAACTTTTGAAAGTTGGTGGCGCTAGAGGAATTGATTTGGAGACTCAAAATTTGCTATTGTTGACTGTTCAGACTGTCCTCTATCAGTGTGCCAAATTTCATAACTTTCCCGCAAGCGGATCTTTGGGCTGCCATAGACTCCCAGTCGGAAAAATGAATAATAATAATAATAGGAACAGGAGCAGATACAATAGGTGCCTCCGCACCTTCGGTGCTTGGCCCCTAATTAAGGCCTGGTTTCACAAAAAGGTCTTAGATTAAGCCAGGACTAAGCCTTAGTTCATTTAGGACATTTAAGTAGCTTTTATAAACTAACCTTCGAAAAAACATTACTGGTGTGCATCTTGAGATAAAACAATAGCGTTGACATATTTGAAGATATGTCACTGCAAGTTGCTTTCAGTTTGTTATGCCTGCCTGTTTACCCCTGCTGGCTCTGCTACACAGTGCAGTCGTTAAGGTGAATTCAATCCCTAATTGACTCACAATAGGTGTTAGTATAAAGACCTGTGACTTGGGCCCTGTCCACACGGACACGGGTATTTTTATAACCGTGACTTTTTTTTTACGCGGTTCGGCCGTTCGTCCACACGAAAACGCACTGAAACCGAACATTTTTGAAAACCCCTGCCAGGGTGAGGATTTTCAGAAACGCCGGTTACAGTGTTGTCGTGTATACAGTGAAACCGGGGTTTTTGCCTTGCGACGTCAGAGTGTGCGGCGTTATCCGCTGTGTTTGACGTCAGATTTGCGCTTCTGATTGGCCAATGTGGCTTTACGGTTAAGGTTTATATTGCCGCCTGCTTGACCGCGCTTGATAGCGTGTTTTTGCGTTTTCATGTAGACGGAGACCGAGCATGTGTGGACGGGATTTTTTTTTAAAACGCTGTAGGAAAAACTCCGGTTATAAAAATACCCGTGTCCGTGTGGACAAGGCCTTGGAGTGAGAGGTTTCTCACTCAGGTGGAAGTAGAAGAGAGGAATTTTTTTTATCCAGACTCAGAATAGGACATACATGACTTAATAAAACAATGCAATTAATGTCAAAGCATCCAACAGGACGATGTGAATGTGTGGACAAAACGAAACAGTAGAACACGTAATCATGTATTGTGAAAAGTATAAAGATGACAGAGAAAAGTTATTAGAAGAGGTTCAGAGGGAAGAGGAGATTGATCTTAATTTGAGGTTCCTATTAAACCCCGAACAAAGACATAATGACAGATCACTTTATTTAAATATTTGGAGAACACAGGTTTAATTAATAGGATTTGAGAACTTTTTTGTTTCTTTCTTCAAGCCAGAGGAGTTGAAAACTCCTGGCTGAAGCATACATTTTTATTTAATGGTGGAGGATGGGAAGTGGGTAAGTGGTTATAGTCTCTGGATCGAGCTCACAGTAGGTGGCGGTAATGAGCAAAATTGGTGCGAACCGGCAAAAAAACGGGAAGAAGAAGAGAGGTTTCTCACTTCTCTCCCATTTTTTTCATTTGTATATACACTCACCTAAAGGATTATTAGGAACACCATACTAATACTGTGTTTGACCCCCTTTCACCTTCAGAACTGCCTTAATTCTATGTGGCATTGATTCAACAAGGTGCTGAAAGCATTCTTTAGAAATGTTGGCCCATATTGATAGGATAGCATCTTGCAGTTGATGGAGATTTGTGGGATGCACATCCAGGGCACGAAGCTCCCGTTCCACCACATCCCAAAGATGCTCTATTGGGTTGAGATCTGGTGACTGTGGGGGCCATTTTAGTACAGTGAACTCATTGTCATGTTCAAGAAACCAATTTGAAATGATTCGAGCTTTGTGACATGG